CACAGCACTTACTTGGTTTTGCCAATACTGACGAGCTAAGTTGGCTAATCTAGGGTCAAGGTCGGGCCAAGCCCCACAAAGCATGCACTTTGCCCAACCAATTGGATTTCACAGTGAGACAATCGAAGTTATCGATTGAGTATTCCTTGTAACAGCAGCGGTATCTGCGTGTAAGCGATCCAAGTGTTCAGAGGACAGTCGTGATATTCTTTTCTTATCATAACTAGTGAATAGATGCTAGTTTATCGTGTCAGAACAATTGACCAATCACCTACTGATGATTTTTTTGTTAATTTAGCCTGACTTTAAGTTCACCCTTAGAGAATAACTCGGTGTGGAGAATTCCTGGAAGGTCTAACAACAAATGAATGAAACTCGTGTGCAAGTTTTGCCCTACGCTGTGGTTACGTGTCTACATACTATGGCACACGACGTCAGCAAAGCATTCCTTGAAACACTGCTGGTGAACTAGCATCGTGAATGACCAAACTTGGGCTCAAACTAAACCAATACACAGAGATAAAGAAGCACAAAGTGGAACCTTTGAGGTTGATCTCTTTGCCGCTGTAGGCCTTAAGGAAGGAGACCAAGGTCCACCGCCAGTACCGCTGGTAGACGATGAGGCCGTGGTCGGAAAGGGGACGCTCTGGCGATCCTACGCGACCTTCAACACAACTAAGCACGTAGCCTGAAGGGGAAGGGGGAAGTAAGTCACCTGACGAGCTAATGTGACTAAAGTAGGGTCAAGGTCGGGTCAAGCCCCACAAAGTATGCACTTTGCCCAACCAATCGGATTTCACAGTGAGACAATCGAAGTTATCGATTGAGGATTCCTTGTAGCAGCAGCGGAAAATTTGTGTAGGCTATCCAAGTGCTTTGGGACCAGACATTATTTTGTTCTCTTTCAAGAGCATCGAAATCATTCTAGGGCACTTAATTAAAAATTCCTTGCGGCTTTACGTCATGCATTAACCCATCTAAACAGCTTATCTTTTTTCCATATTTGTTTTCAGGATATGATTGGTTTGTTTGAAACAAAGCGCGCTTCTTTTCACATGCACAGGCTCTTGATTGGCACCTGGTCCATTACTGCTCATTTGTAAGCATTTATTTGGAAAGCAAATAATCCAAACACAACAAAATGCTGCATCACGCATTTTCTGGTTGTTTAAACAGCGCATTTTTGGCCGTAATCTGAGACCGCTTTCTAGCTTAGAAAATTGGTACTAAACACTTAACCGTACGATGGTTTTTTGCTTAACAACCTTTTATGTTGTAGAATTGGTCTAGGCAAATTTATCTTTGATAGAACAACAAACCTGAATGCCCAGTTAACTAAGCCGCCGAATGTGCCAATTTTTAGAAAAATTTGCGTCTATTAAAATGCTCTGTGAAAAATGGAATCAACTTAAGCTACCTTATTGATTTCTAAGTAAATCGATTAGCAAACGCCTTAATTAGGGAATTGTGATCGATTGCGGTTTCATCTGCTCTACCGAGAACATTTACACACTCTCTATAATTATGAGGGAATTTTCATCTAATTATAAACTCGGGGTTACCCTGGTTACAGGATCAAACCGCAGGATTACAAGACATCAAAAAAGATCAAGGCAGTGAGTACATTTGCACGGAGGCGTTAAAAAGAGGCGTTAATAAACATAGGTATTGCATGTGCCAAAATAGAATTTGAGTAAGTGTGTGCTTTAAAATCTCGTCATGAATCCGCGAAATCCATGCGTCGGTTTGGTGGAGGTCTCGAGGTTCCCATAAATGACTCCACGCGAGATGGAGGACATTGTGGTGGTGTGACGCATACTTCCTCGATACGTGTACCTGCACACTTCAGAGGCGTTCGGGTTGAATGTGCTCCCATTGGCTGGAATCACGTCGCCTGAATACCCCACCTTCCAGAAGTCCGATACGCCACCTTTTCGATTATTCGCAAACCGCAGGCAGTAGGCTCTGGAGGTCTCGGCACGCGGGAATTCACTGGTTAGAATGCGATCCTTCGTGGAGTGACGGTGAACCGACTCGAAACCGTCATCCACTAGGCCTCTGCCGTGTCTGCAGTGGCAGTGGAGCAGGCGAATACTGGCCCGACGGAAGTTCTTCATCCGCTTCATGTACAACGCCCAGTTGGAGGCCTGCTGGAAGAAGAGGAGTTGCCAGCCCAGGTCGGAGATGTTGTACGACATTCGGACGGCCATGCGTCCAGTCTCGCCTTCCATGACCTCAGACAGTATCGTGCTGAGAATGTACGCCACTGACTGTGGCAGAGTGCAAATGACGACGATGGCAGAGAGGATTACGAGCAGCATCGAGGCCGCGATCTCGCGGTTAGCCGTGGTGCATTTCGACATGGACTCGCGCAGAACGGCACACTGGCGCAGACGTATCACCAGGGCGACGTTTATCCCAATCACGAGGATGGTCTGCAGCAAACTCGAGTTGGCTAGCAGGACGTGGTAGATTTGCAGTGTGTTCGCCTCGACATGTACCCAGCAGATAATTTTGCCATTGGATAGACCGTGTTCCACCACGAGACCAAATGGCAGCATAATTATGGCCGAGATGACAGCTGTAACCCCCACCGCCTCCCAGGCCCTCCTACGCGATAACTGGGCAAATTTGAGGGGAAAGTAGATGCAGAGGCAACGGTCAAGTGCAGTGAGAAGGAAAAGCGAGGAGCTAAGGCAGGACGTGAAGGAGTAGAGATAGCGGACGATTTTGCAGCTGTAGTTGTTGATGTTGAAGATGAAGAAGTAGGTCCGTGCGCCCGTGGCGTAGGGCAGACCCTTCGCCGGAAACATCCAGATCCACCCGAAGAGGATTATCGTGATGACGTCAGCGGCTGCCACGCAACCCAGATAGATCATCTGTCTTGAAGGTTTTCGAAAGACACAGAGAAAGACATAGGCGATGAAGATGTTGGAGACGACTCCAACGACTCCGACGAAAGGGAATATGTACGCAGTGACAAAGCCTAGCATGTGGGAGAGGATGCAGGCTCCAAGGTGACTGGAGGAATTGCTGTGGCCCGCAGCCACGTACTGACAATCCCGGTGTAGATCCCACGGCGAATCCACGTAGGGCCAAGTTACATCTTCCGGTAGGACTGAACGCTGAGTCCCAAAACTTGACATTTGACTTCGACTGAATGCCCGGCAGATTGAGGTGATAAGGAATATGCGGGAGTCTGCGCGCCCTCCTATTGGCTGAAGACGTGAACCAATTATAATAGACGTGAGAAGGAAAATGAGCATGTGTTTTGATGTGACGTAAAAACTTTAAGACGGCAAACTGCAATCACTCTCAATGTGTCCGCCTCTTTCTCCATATGCATTCGCATCGACTAAAACGTTGAAATTCACGTAATTTTACATCATTATCCGCATTTCGTTTATATGCTCCGTTCTGTAATTTATTTTTCCCTTTATTTGAATGTATTTAAACAAGAGATATAGTGCTAGATGCAGAATATAACTATTTACATGGCGACAATCAATAGCGGTACAGAAGTCGAATTAATGAGTCATTTTAAAGGCATCTTTGAGTTGTTTTATTGCCAATTTTCTGGCGTCGCGAGAGAAGTTTTAACGTAGGTTTAAAATTTTTCATCGTGATCCACATTTTCTGGGATAACCCACGTTGGTGAAAATAATTGGTTCAACGGTTCAAAGTCAGAAAAATTTCCACCAATCAACTTCAGACGCTGGCTTTGTCGTTGAAAAGCAGAGAAAAGGACCTAGTCAACATAACCGTATATTCATTTGATGTTCATGGATGTCACTTTAGCATGCGAGAAAATGTGGGTTATTTTTTTACTGGGCTTGTCAAAAAACCGTTGTCGGGTCAACGATTTCGTGTTGACGTGTTTACTTTCACCTTGAATTACTGACAACTACAGTAACTCACATTCATGCACCATAACTTAATCGTAGAGGCATCAATGTGTGACTAAAACTCATCGACGTGGAGACAGTGGAAGCAGTGAGGAAAAATCCGACCCGGCAAATACTCACTTTTGATTGGCTACAATGTCACAATGTTGGCCTTGGCTGGCATTTAAACCACTAAACATATTACCAAGAATTTGGTATGCAAAAATTAGAGGGCATGGATTTAAATAGGCCCATTAGTGTTTGCTCTATTATGTGAAAGTGTACGGACATGTGAGACTATAAATGTTTTTGCAAAAGCCTATGAAATTCATCACAATTATGACCTTCAACATTAATGACAACATAATTGTCCCCAGTTGATGTTACTTAAATTGTCTTGAGTAGTCTCGGTGGAAAACTCTGGTACTGCCATGGCTGCAATAGAAGCTATTCGGCTGCACCTACAACTAGATTTGAGCTTGGATGATACATTTAAATGCTGAAGCTCCTAATTTGAATTTGAATCGTCAGCGTTTGTTTTAATCAATAGCCATAAACATCATGACTAAGCTATCAAACTCTAGTGTCCTCAAGCAATAACTCCAGAATGGCCTCCAATTCTGTTCGAACCTTATTTTTAAACTCTGATGCCGTTTTAGAATAAAGATATGTGACTAAATCAGCATCTGAAAAGGTCATGCTCTATACTACTTATAAAATTTAATCATTATTACATTACAACTGTGTGAAGTCTGTTTGCCGGCAATTAGTTGTTTGCATATTATTAAGAAAACGGATGAATTGACACCTCAGCCTAAGACTCCACGAATTAAATTTGATTCGAGAATAGAGACCAAGGTCAGACAAAGATGATTGGTTCCATGCTAACCAATCAAAGCTTCCTTGAGTTATTGATTAATTCAGAGCCAAGACAAAGACACGCTGGTTTTAAACGGATTGAGAATCGGTTAAGTGGGATTTAATTGATGCTTTTCTGCATAGATAAGTTAACTTTCTTAGTGCCAACGCAACCAATTATAACCAAGTAGTCGTGGAGAAATCGAAATTTACATTGATGGGGTTATCGCAGTAAACCTGCGTCCAGGTGTAAACCAAATCATTGGTAACTTTAGACTGGCCAGTAGTGAGTAATTTAATGCTAAACCCCGGGTTGGAAAATGCCTTTAAATTACATGTTCAGTCTGACGTGACTAGGATGCGTGACTTGGTGTTCAGACCGCTTGGGTTACAGCATGTGATTTTGGGATGTGAATCAACTTCATTTTAAACTGCGCGAGCATGCCATAATTAAGAGTTTTCCCCATAATTAATGGAATGAAGTAAACACCACCACCACCACTGCTAATCGTAATTTGCGGATTTGACCGCATGTCGAATTTGCAGAATGCTGTTTGAAAACTGGAACACTTTGTCAAATTGATCAAACCCGACTTTTACATTTAAAAGTGCGTTTTAAGTTGCCCAATTAATGTAACCATACAGCGACTAATCACGAACATGTTAAGCGGAAGCCACAGCTGTCGTATTCAATTAATTAATCAATAAAAGTACGCTATTGCTTACACACACGCATCCATTATTTTGGCTAATTAATAGATTACTCTACTCTGGCTTTTAGAAAGCTGCTTAATGCATTCAAATTGCACTTTGTTACAAAACAAAGACGTCAAATTCAGTTGTAAACAATTATTTGACGTAAAAAACACTGCTAATGCAGTATAGTAGTTTTCCATTGTCGCAGCACCCTGATTAATTATCGCTTAAACCAATTTTCCGCAAACTAAATGATCTTTAAAGTCCGTAAGTATTAAAAATCAATAAAACTACCATGCACGAATTTCGGCTTGTGGTGTGAAATACAATTTTCAACAAACCTAGATGCCATCTTGTATTAATCATCGATTAATAAATGTATCTTGCACTTTATGAAAGGATATCTACACTAAACTCCTAGCATTAGCTCTAGTTTAAAACCATCTGATTCAATTGGTTTTGATTTCTTGAGCTCTCGTTTCCCTTTAGGGTATGTAAGGATGCTGAAGAAGCCAAATTCAAGGTCATTGGTTTGGCCAATGGACGTGCAGAAGTCATTCTTGTGTGTTGGTGCTTCAGGACAATGTCGAGATTCGCACATTTTTGTGCAGAATAATTTCCTGGAATCAAAATTCATGTGGTGAAGACTCGCTTCTATTTACGGATTCGAAAAAAGCTTTGGTGGAAAAAAGACTTATGCATTATCTGTTTACCAGAAAACAAACCTGATCTCCATGAGCATCAACATGTGAATACCCACGGGACTTTTGACAGTTGCTGTGCTCGGAAAACTTGCGACTGTTATTTGCCATCGTGTTTGATAAAGGTTACATTGTTGTCTGCAGTGTCACCCTTGATGTGTTTTCTGTGGAATTTCGAAAATGATGAATCTTGCCGTCTTACTGCCAGGTCCCATCCATTCAATGGGTGATCGATGGCAGCTTATGTAATCTCTTCCAGCTAGATCACTTTGCCGATGCGTTGGCAGGCATTCGTTGGAATGTTCTGCTGTAAATGCTTCTATTTTACGTTGCTGAATCGCGTTTGCAAGCGTGTCTAGAAGCATCAGACATCTGTAACACGTGACACAATCAGTGGACCCATGCGTCATCAATCAATCATCATCGATTTCTTCATCACCTACAAGACAGCTACGATTGTACCTACCACACCCTTCAAACCTAGGTTTCGTCAAATTTCCATACTGTCACCAGTAACTGAACCGATCTACCACTGTGAGCGGGGATCTACCGAACTCACTGACGTTTCGTTTCAGAAATTAATGGTTTTTCATGTGTTCTTGGGTTATTAGAGTGATGTTTTTAAGCAAGCTTCCTGTCTGGCGCAATTCAGACGAAGATAATGCGGTGCCGAATCCTATGCCTTGCCAATTTCCATCGTGGACAGCAGAAGAAAAATCAGTGAATACAGGCTGTGGTGCGTGAAGAGCAGAAGCGGGGGCTGTTATCAGCTTGCCTTCTGAGGGAGAGGCAGTCTAGTTGTTGCGACGTATAAGGGCGCAGACAATGGACCACACTGGCTTCAGCCAATCCTCTGTCTCCCTGCATTCAAATGGCATGCGAGAAAGAAATGTAGCCAACCAGAGACAGACACGCATGAGAAAAGGTATAAAATAAGCGGCGCAGCCAGCGTGGCCGACTAGGATCGACGGTGCCTGACGTAAGGGATTGGCTTGTGACTGTTCAATAAAGCCTTGTCTGTTGTACCAGTCTTTTTCATACTAGGGATCGGGTATTTTACACAGCATAGCGACGTCTGAGGGCTCAGACATATTGGACTACGATGGCCTTAGCCAATCATGTGTCTCTCTGCGTTCCAATGGCATTCGAGGAAGATAAGCAGCCAACCAGAGAAGAACACGAATGAGGTACAGTATTTAATGAGCGGCGTGGTCGGCGTGGCGGACTCGGATGGACGGAACCTGACGTGTGGTTCTGGCTTGTGATTTATCAATAAAGCCTGTTATGTTGTACCAGTCTTTTTCATACTAGGGCTCAGAAATTCTACACAATACAGTAAAAAGGCGCAGACATATTTGATCACACCAACCTCAGCCAATCTTGAGTCTTTGTGCGTTAGAATGGTCAACGTTGAAGATCAGCAGACAATCAGGGAAGCATTCTATTATAGTTAATGTAGTCAATATGGTGAACCCACATGAGCTACATCTGACGTACGGTTCTGGCTTATGATTAATCAATAAAGCTAGATCACTTGTTCCCATTTTTCACATTGACATCTTTGAATGACTCAGCAAAGCTTATGTGAATTTGAACTAAGCCATGTACATCAGGAGGCTTTTAACTAATGGGAGCCGTCACTGTGAATTTGGAAACAGTTGCTGTGGAAATAACAAGCCATTGAGATGGTAAAGAATGGAGAATCGTGTGAATGGGAGATTGGCAAGTCTTACTTTATAATAAACACGTTGCATTGGGGGAATAAGAACTTTTCTACCAGTTCACTAACAAATCAAGTAGAACAACTGCCTTGAGTAAAAATAGTATATGTTTGTAGGTACTTACCTAGAAAGTTAGAATTGTTCCAAAAAATATTATTGAAACCCTTTTATTTTAATTCATAATGTTAACATAGAGGTTCTAGATTAATATGTAACAATCCAAGAGCATACAATACCAATAAAGAGATTACAATTGGCGAGCTTTCATAAATTTGCAATTTCACTGTACCGAAAGTTCATTCTACAAATGTAAGATCGTAATGCATGATAAATTGCTGGGAATTCATAAATTCACCCAATTTAGAAATGGTGTAAGCAACTGTTTGGCACTAAATTGCTGACATTTTGTCTAAATAACTCACAGGAGGTTTGCGGGATGATGTTTTGAAAATGAATAAGTTTGAATTTGTTGCTGCGCTTCTAAGTAAAATAGTCATGAATGCCAGGACACATGAAAATTTACCATTGCACCAACAGTAAGAACACAAAATAGAAAGTATTAATGTTGTGTACAAAAACAACATTCAATTTTTACCTTATAAAACAGGCCCATTTTTATTTAAAAAAATTTTCCGTGTGGAATCACAATTGAAAATAGAAAATAGAAATTCTGCGACAGATAAGGTTAGGTCTGTACATATTTGGTTCTAGACGCGTAAATTTTGAATCTGCCTGGATAGGGAGCTTAGGTGTTTTAATGTTCGAAAAATCGAAAGATTGTGGATACTAAAACATCAGCAGAAAAATGCACACAAACTTTTTACCACCAATCCCATAAAATGTGGAAAAAACACCCATTAGTTTCAATTCTAATTAACAAAGAATCGCATCTGATATCCATTCTTTGTTTGTAGCTTAGAAGTCTTTTCCTTTTGCACAAATAACTAACAAAGCATCACGACAACAAAGTTTTATCATTTTCTTTTATTTTTCATTATGGTTTTGACCAAACCTGAAAAGCAACTTTTGAGTTTAATGTTATCGGTCACGAGTGTTTAAAAATTTCTTTAGATCGTGCAAAATGGTATCTTTTTAAAAAAATCTAATAGGGCTCAACCAAGAGCATAAGAATACAGAGTTATCTTTTTTTTTATATTTTTATCAGTTTGCATTAACATAAATTAACTCCTAATAATGTTTTTCTCAAAGAAAACTTGGTGAAATAAAAAGGTAATTGATAGTGGAACAAAGGGTAATTTTATTTTTAATAAAAAAGAGATTCAGTAATTAATTCTAGTAGATCCGAAGACAAAAAACTGTTGCGATACTCGGGTTGACATGTCTGGTACTTAGTGACCTTAGCAAAATGGAATTATAAAGCAAAAAAAGAGGTGTATGATTCAAGAAATAAAGAGATTTGCATTGTGGAATTTATATTTTTAGGAAGTCATTGCGTATCAATTCAAAAATTTGAATTATATTATGCTTTGTGTTATGTGGGCAGTTATTAATTAGAGTGGGTTTGATAAAACATTGGAAGATTGCCATGAAAATTGAATTTTCATAGCAATAACACATGTTGTATATTCGATTGGAAGGAACCTAAATTTGTGGCAGATTAGTTAAGCTTTTATATCTTGCTTGACTGCACCTGGCATAAAATGTTTTACTTATCCCTTAAAATAATTGCATGTTTACGTTAAACTCCACGAGTTTTTTGAATTATAAATTGTACGATGAAGCACTGACTATCGTTAATTTATTTCAGTTTATTGCATAAACACGGTCTATTGTGCCGTATTGTGACGTCTAAAAATTAATGAATGTACAACTGCATGCCCATTATCATTTATTAGATGTTTTAACTTCTTCTTTTAATAGCGCGCCATTCAAGATCGGTTAACGGATAGTGTTCTAGCCATGTCCGATTTGAAAACCGATGCCCTGGAGGAGTACAACCCTTTTGGGGATCCATTAGCATCGGGTAATTTATATTTTTAGCATTTAATACAGTTTTCCGTTCTTTCAAATTGTGTGCTTGTATAGTTGTCAAGTTTTTTCGTAAATTCTCGAAACTAACTTCTTGTTTCGCTCTGTATCACATTGCTACCTGATGTAGTCTTATCAGTATTGCTGTTAACATCGAGCCGTTATAATCTTAATTCTTGTTATTTTATCTTGATTCGGATTTCTCTTTCACTGTTTCCTACCACTCTTTGTGCCTGCTTGATTTATTACACATTGTATTTTGCTTCAAACAAACGAATTTCTTACTTTAAATTCCAATTAACGTGCCTTTTTTTGTACATGCAGTATGTAAGGACGTCTAAACTCATGGAGCCGTGTCAATCTACCCATTATCCATTTGTGTCGTTTTGTGGTACAAATTGATGGGTTCAGAACCAATATCAGTAAATTTTCCTGTGTCATGTGGTTGCTTAATGTTAGTTTTATGGCTTTTTGAAACTTAATTAAAATGTGATTCCCCTGTGCTGACTTGTATTTTATCCTTAAAGCTACAGTTCAATCGAGTCGCCAACCGGCTATGCTTCCTCCAACGGATGATAATTCGCCTCCCCCGGCCTACAAAAAAGATTTGAGTCTTGATAATGGCATGATGGCTGAGTCACGTGATATGAACCTTTCCGGTGCACTATTGCCCTCGTCTCAGCCAATTATGACCGTCGCTGATCTCCAGCGCAGGCAGGCTGAACTCGACCAACGTGCAGCTCAGCTAGATCTACGCGAAAAGTACGCTCAGCAACAGGAGGCATGGCGCCTTGAGCATGGCTATGGCACCGCAGAAAGTAGGTCGATTGTCATGTAAAGTCGATGATTGTGTGCCGTAAAACCTCATTCTCGCGTACTCTCATGTGGTGGAAAGTTATTTGTTCATTTAGGTCCTCAAACTTTGTGACCTATGCAGCTGTAACCGATCTTGTTTATTACTATCTGGAATGTTTAATAACGGGTGCGTGTAAACCCGAGCAGCAAGCGTTAGAATCAACATTAAATACTAAACGCATGCATTCCACGTTAGGCTATCTGTGTTTCGCTCTTCCAGTAGGTGAATCGTGAGTGGTACTAGGCGAGAATGCGAGTCGCAACAGCGGACCAATCAATTTTGAATAATTCTAACCTCCTGTCTAATCGAATTCTATGTTTGCGTTATTTACCGTTTTGCCGTTTCACAAGCTTGCGCACACATCATGGATAGGAATATGACGTGATTTTGTCACCAGTCGTTCTTTTGTTACTCCGAAAACTTTCGGCATACCTTCAGGCTTTTCCTAGTCATTTTTTCACGTAAAGGATTTCTATCTGACGAGTGTATACCTTATATCTCATAGTTCCTAACTGGCCACCCCTGCCAAGATGGTGCTGCGTAAAGCCCTGTGTGCGGGTCGACTTCAACTCGGACATCCCCTCGCAGTGTCGGTGGCTGGCGCTCTATAGTCACTACTTCTGGCTTGCCTACTCTCTCCTCCTTCTGTTCAACGTCGTGGGCACACTGTGTTATCTCATTGTCTCCACAACTCTCACCGAAGCCGGCCCCCTGTTCGGAGTCGCTATCGTGGTGTTTCTCATCCTCACGCCGGCGAGCTTCTTTTGCTGGAACCGGCCTCTTTATAAGGCGCTCAAGTTTGTTGATCTGGTTTTTTTTGTGGCGTACTTTCTATACCCCTGCAAACACACAGAGACCTTGATTTGGGTGTGACGCTGTTGGCGCACAAGACGTTCATCCCTTTTTACGTGTAGTCGTAGATCATTTGGTGTTACAGCTGAAGGAAATGCCAGTGTTGCTAAAATGCAGCGTCGTAAATTTGTCCTGCTAGGGCTATCGCAGACGCGTTATTCCTATACCACCACATTGCTTTTCGTTGAGCTTCCTTGGCTATGTTCGCTTCTCTGACTCAGGCATGCTTTTGTGTGCGATGACGTTTTTGCACACGAGCCAACTTCCGCCACAAAACTGCCGTTTCCATGGTAATGCCTGCTGAGGCGCATAACAACCTCCACGTCGTTTTTTTTTCAGGAAAAACAGTTCAATGCAATTTTGCATCTTCTTCCCCATGTTCGGCGCGCAAATCCTAATCATCTTTATTCAGCTTCTGGGCATTGACTACCTGGGTGCCTGGTGAGTTGCTTCCATTTTTTTTTCCAATCTTTTTGTCTTTCCATGGGCTGATTTACTCACGCGAATCAAACAGCTACAAAACTCACGTCAAGGTGTCGTGTGTGTGTGTGGCAAGTTGATCTGTAACGCTTGTAATGCCAAATTCTTAACCCCAGATTACTTGTGTTAAGCGGTGCTTTTTGTTCTTTACAAAATCCACAAAACACCGTAGCCTTGCCTTCATGACTCATGCACATGACGATGAGGCGTGCTTATTTACAGCGATGCTTTCCCCCACGCTGTGCCAAGGAGCACAGTGGCATCTGCAACTCTAGATGAGGCCTCGAAAACAAATACCTGTTTCCCAATTGTGTCGTTTTTGCACTCCTAGTGGCTGGATCAACTCGCTGAAGGTCTTCACAACGCACCATGGAGTGGGATCCTTCATGCTCGTCTTAGCTTCCCTCTACTCAATCGCGGCCGCAGCCGCCGTCTACCTGCTTCTTCGGGTGCGTATTCTTGTGTGTAATTTCAGGTCAGAAGAAGTCCAGTTTCGGTCTAGACGCATCTAGCGTCGTCGTGCCGGTGTCGCCGCTGGCAGAGGGTAGATTTAAGTCGGATGAGTGGAAAGTGGGAGGGTTTAGTGACGTTCCCAAGCTAGATGCTTTCCTAGATCAATGATGATATGCTTCCCCCTAGGTCCACATGTTCTACCGTGGCTCGGGTGCGAATATTCGTCGCGCGAAGCAGGAGTTGGCGCACGGCATGGTCGACTCGGGCTTCACCACTGTCTCTTGAGAGGCCCTTCACGATGTGACTCATCTGGCTGTGGTTCCTATGTGTGTCTCTTCTCCACCACCACCACCACCTCCTCCTCCTCCTCCTTCTTCTTCACACACCAACTCGTCGCTTATTTTTGACACACAATCACGTATTTTGTTTGTTGTCGTCTATCACTTTTGTCTACTTTTCTGCACTTTTGACATTATATATGCGGCAAGGTCCATGCTTCATCATGTTAGCCTTCTGTGAGATGCCTCCGTGTGAAACCGCCATCGCGCGCCTTCGTGGCGTTGTGGACTGTCGGCGTTCGTTTGTTTTGAAGTAGTGAAGCGATCAGTCTCTTGGTGACACAGGTCAGCATTTTCAGGTGTCAGGTTTACATTGCGACGGTCAGATTTGGAATTCATTGATTTAAACGAAGTTGAGCTGTGATGTGCAGAAGGTGTAACTGAAATCCTCAGAAAACTGACCCAAAAATATCTGCAACGAGGTTCTTCAGGCTTCCCATCGACACTTCTTTGGTTTGAACGAAGTAACATATTGTTATATTTCTACTGGGAACAAGTTAAGATGGCTTAAACGCAAATCGCTAGCTGAATTGGAATGATCTTTGGTGTCAGGGATAACGGATTGCAAGATTTTAGTGTCTGTTCTCCATCGATTTCGAGACTTCGGTGAACCCCAAGGCTGTTTCCATTAAAAATCAAAATTATCAACCACAAAAAGCGAGAACTAGGTAAAAGCCTCATTGCTTCTTATAAAAATAATATCAGAATTAAATAAAGTAGATGCAGAGTGCCTTGAAACGTGGCGCCTTCTAGAGTAGTAGGTGTGCGAGGCAAGCCGATTTACAAAGGACGAAATTTGTAATAGAATCGGAAAGTCGAGTCCCTGTCCGTTTGTATAATGCAACGTGGAGGAATTTGAATATGTACGTTTAATTTGGTTGAGATGTAATGAACTATGCAAAACAATTGCACGTCCTAGGGAAGGTTAACCATCTGGAAATTTACATTTTCATGTTCTTCATTCCATCAGTGAACTTCCATCCTTGTCGTTTAATTCAAAAAGAGTGCGATTATTTTGACTGCGTGTGCGCATCCGATGTTTTTTTCCCATATTCACGAATTAGTAAAATGAGGCAGCCAAACACGCAGGGATTGAATTTATTTCACACAAATTGTCAAGTTTCTATGGTCACAATGAATTGGGATAGGTCGTCGAGTTCTGTGGGGATTTTGAAGCTAGCAAGCGAGTTCGGTAGAGGTCGGAAGGGGATTTCACCGAGGGAGTCGATGTTGTTTGAGTCCAAGAGCAGTGTGGATTGGGAGACCTCAATTCCGCAGCAAAGCGTCTTGCAACTCGCCTCCGGTCGCAATTCACGCAGTCGTCTTCGAACCGCGTGAAGGAACTCCGGCTGAGCCTGTTCTTCGACCCCGTCTACCATAGTACACCTAGACAGTAGCCTGGTCACCTAGAGAGGCAAGTGCAGACAAGATAGCCGGAAGTCACACATGAGTTCGTGTTTTCAGCCAATGGGGTTTTACTTTCCTATGATTGGCTGAAGGCAAAAATCAAAGTTGTCCAATTGAACATCAGGTTTAGTTGGTAAACGGAGCCGCTTTTATTGGTCACTCCCTGATATTAGCCAATGAGCTGTCAGAAACGACGAACAGTATTTTCTTGACGCGCTGGTTCTATGTGTGGTAAAAACTTTTCATCTCGGTGTACTTTAAATGCTGGTTACCTCTAAACGGCACCCAGTGTGCGCCACACAATCTGGAAAAAACAGACAGCACTGCTTACCTGGCTAATGGTGAGATTCGGGCAGAGCTGGCACACCGACTCGATGGTGGTTTTGTCGGAGGCGCCTTTTTTCGATTGCAAAATAAGACAGACCTGGATTAATGAAGACAAGATTTCCCTAAGCTGTCGACCCTCGCCAGGCGCACCATTCGACTCCTGGTTCGGTCCGTCGGGAATCAGATCTCTCTCCGAAAGCCATGTCTCTAGAGTTGCCAAATTGTGCCTTTTCGAGGAAAATCAGAAAGACGCAGCTTAAATCAGGCGTCAGGAGGGTAGGTCTTGGTGTGGAGAAGCATTCCGAGTGTAAACACAAATTTTGGCGCACACAAAATGTCGTAAGTGTTCCAAATGCCCCATCTAATATTTAGCTCGCACAATGTACTTCTGTTCGGCATTTTCGGAAAAAGCTTAAGGTGAAAAAAACGAGTTTGTTTATCTGAAGTGAGCAAAAAATCGATTTCACACAGAGAAGAAATTAGTCATTGCGGGAATTCAGAGTTTGGTTTTCTAAACAAAGATTTAGCCAATCAACGCACTGTCTCTGATGTAAGATGTCCTTTTTATCTTGGTAATATTTAATTCATTTCATCATTTGCTTGAAAATGCTACCACTTTTGGCAATTTTGTGCGTATATCATGTAGTTTTGGTCAAGTCGAAACACGAAAAACTAACCGAATCTGTGCGCCTCTCGCCCAGTTGCAGAGATCCTTCCTCAGCAAGATCGTATTCAGCGCTGAGGCAGTGATGTAGTAGAAGATTTGATAAAATACGTGCCACACCAGATACGTGTCCGCGGCCTGAGCTAAAAAGCGGTCCAAATAACTGGGCTAATGATCAAATCACCATCTGCTCTTTGTTTAAATAAGCACCTTTAACTGCGTATATTTTGAATTCAAGCGCGTTGAGCTACTCTCCAGCACAGAAGGTGGTAAATCTTAAGGATGCGACAAGCGTCATGGCTTACCGGTCACAAACTCGAACACCCTGTCGAGGTTCTTGGTGAAGCGCTGGAAGTGCGGAAGACGTCTCAGCCAGGTGTTCTGAGGTTGGAGGCCGCCGGATCGCGACGCGGTCAGCGCTTGACAGCTCAGGTTGGGTATGGGCTCGTACTCGAGTAGTGCGCCGGTGATCACTGAGGGCGGGAACACCGTCTCCCTGATATTCGCCATCAGGCGCTAAATTTGCGCACAGAAAAGCTGCAAGTCGGTTATCACTATTAATCGCTAATTAGCATGTAGCAGATGCTCCCTACTACGTTACGTGACAAACCCAGGCACGTTCGCATTATTGTCACGTGATAAATCCTGGGTTGTCTGCTTGCGTCAAGACCTATACTCAGGCATTTGATTATTGATTTGTAGTGAACCGTAAGCGTACGCGTAAAAAGTTCAATCTGATTGATAGCCGTGGCTCGGTCTTGCTTTTCATTGGTCAATGTTCCCAGGTTCGCACACGCGCGCGATAACACATATGAAGCCAAGTTAGTGCGGCGATTTCAATCTCCATTGGGCATCTATTTATGGCCTTCCAGCCACCTTGGGTAAGAATACGTTTAAAGACTCTTTCGGAACGGATAATCGTGACCAGTACAGCCAACTGAAAACCACTAGTAACATCTAAAAGGGCTGTAAGAGGATAACCTTACGTGGAATGTGAGAGTTAGGAGGTCGGTGAGAAGTGGTCGGAAGAGGCTAACGTCGTAGTTTTCCAAGTAGTAGACTTCTTCTTCCTCGGCCACCGTTTCTTGGCTACCTTGTCCACCACCGAATTCCTGAATGCAGTTCCGTAGGCCGAATATGTTTGCAAGCCAGAACAGGGTAAGTTCTGTATTTGTTGGATGTTTCTGAAACAACGCAAAACCACTTTCTAAGGCCCCTTTGCACTTCCAGCATAAACTAGTTAACGAAAAATTAGGCACACTTTTCAAATAAAAGTTTCTGATTTGTAAAGAAACCTGCATTTTACAGAAAATATTTCAATGAAATCTAGCTAGGATGCACAAGTTCGATGCAATTACCGCAGTCTCGAGATTTATCGACTTTTCTTAATCAACGTTTTAATCAATAATCACGCTCGACCCCGAAACGAAAGTTGAGGCAATTTTTGGGCTTTTGTGTGGATGGTAAATTCAAAAATTAACAGAACAAGTAGTCGATGATACAAACGTACGATTGGCTGATTACATGTGTTTTAATTGATTCTCTTTGTGACCGCCAGATAAAGTCTAGCCTATTACAGTTTGACCTCTGTTTCATCGATTTTTTAACGCGGTGGTAACTCTGCTACAGTTAGGCTCAGGGAACAGCACTTTTTAAATACCTTTCAGCGATCAAACCTCACGCTATCAAAACTGTACCATGCGAAGACAGAGTTAGATTATCGGTAGAACAAACTGACCACTTCGTTTCGTTTGTGGTGACATGTTAAATACTGCATTATCACGTTAGCCAAAATTGTAACTTTTCAAGGTCATATCGCACGTGTTGCCTGCGGTGATTGGCTAAGCCGAAACTCATACCTTGAGTTCGGCCTGCACAGTTTTGATGGTAGCCGAGAGAATCGCCGAAATCTGCTCTTCATCGTGGACAGCATCGGCACCACGAGCCAGAAGGAAGATGAGTTCCGCGACAACCAATGGTGGCCAGCTAGTCGTCTTCGAGACATCCAAGTCTTTGAAAAAACCCAAATTTTGAAAAAAAAAATACGGATTACCTTTGACCAGGCGGTGAATCAGAGGGGCTTCTTGTCCTTCTAAACAGCGAAGCATGCCTACCTTAGGCGAGAAGTCGTGAATGCCTGTCTGAAACACACACGCACATGTCTAGTTTGGACCAATCACAAACCTTGGCTAGTAATTGAACATTGAACTCACACTATCCATTCTGCTCTGCGAAATTGCGATCAGTTGACGAGCATCAAGGAAGTAGGGCGACACGGTCATTTGCAGACACTCCGGCGCGTTCCGGTGTACCAGTTCGGCAAAGTACTTCA